AATCACTGCACCGAAGTGCTCACCCACTGACACCTCAGACACTTGCCCTGCCTTGTTTCCCAAGACCAGGTCAAGTTTTCCACCTTCTCTGGTACGCTCATCCACACACTGAATCTGAAAGTTTTTCTCGTAGATAACTAAAAATTCCTCTCCCTTCAAGTCCTTAACACTGTGGCAGCCCCAGTCTATCTTCGGAAAGTTGAAGTCCCTGAACAAAACCACCCTATTATTCTTATAGATAACTGACATCTGCTTACAAAATTGTTTCTCAATTTTCCGTTGCTTATTGTGGTGGTTTTCTGTAGTCTGATTCCAATAAAGTGATCATTCCTTGCTTATTTCTCAGTTCCTCCCGAATAACTTCCCTCGACGTACTCCCAGGAATATTCACCCTAAGAACAGCCGTAATGCTATCCCTATTCAAAGACAGTACTCCCCTTCTATCTTGCCCTCTTTTCTATTATTCCTTTAGCATCTATACCCTCGAACATTGAGCTGTTATTCTTGTCCATCAGTGAGCCACGTGTGTAGTTGCTATGATACCTCCGTCTTAACTTCTCAACCATGCCCTGACTTCATCTGCCTTACCTGTTTGGCTCCTTGCATGGAAAAAAATGCAGGCTAATTTATCAGTCCTACGTCGTTCTCTCTTTTGTTCCTGGCAGCTCTGACTGTTTGACTTGCTTCTTTTCCCAAGTACACCAGTCTTGGACTGACTTCGTTTTTTTTTCAGTCTCCATGGCTTCCAACCTCTCCGTCGCTCGTTTAATTCCTCCAGAGCAGCTCTCGCAAATCTTGTCATCATTATATTAGTCTCCTTTCTCATTCAGGTGCCAGCCGTTTTTCTTTAAAAGGTCATTTCTGCCTCAAAATACATTCCAATGATCCAAAAATGTAAGCCATTCTCCCCTGCACCAGCTCCTCAACCATGCATTCATCTGCTCTTTCCTGGTATTCCTATCCACATTAGCTCGTGACACCACGGGAAATCTAGATATTACTATCCTCCAGGACATATGTTTTCATTTCCTGCCTAACTTCCTTTATTCTCTCCTCAGAATCTCGCCCTTTTTTACCCTCCTATGTTGTTACTTCTATTGTATACAACGAACTCCTGCTGGTCATTTTCCCCTTTGAGAAGATTCTGTACTCCCTCTGAGATATCCTTGATCCTGAACCATGGAGGCAACACACCATTCTGATATCTCGTTCTGATGTCGGCTGTACAAAGATCTGTCTGTGCCTCTGTAGAAAGAATGCGCTATCATATTAAAGCGCTTAGAACATGACATGCCACTTGTTAAAGTAGAACCAGTTACAGTACAAAAATTAAACTGGCTGTCAGTGCTACATTCCCCTCAGAGTGCATCACACTCTACATTTTCCAAATCATGAACGACAAACTTTAATGTCACCACTCAGTATAAAATGGGGTATGAGACCAATACATTTACAAACAGGTTTAAACTGTCTTCCATTCCGTTATCATCGATCTCCAACGTCATTATCATAAGTTGCTTCAGTAATACGATTGCAGGACGTGCCTCTCATTCTCACTTTGATATTAATTTCGCATTTTCCAGAGCTGCTATTCATCTGCCCCGTTCAGAGGTTAATATCTGAAGCCAATTATTCGATATGTGGACAGATTTGTGTGACTTTAAATTATATTTCCAACATTCATAAATGTACATGACAAACTATTTCATTTCGAAAGGTAAAGAAAGTGCAATACAATTGTCTCTGCAGCGCATATTCCACTTATTACAATTACAGTCCTCTTCATATATTTGTTTCTGTTTGATGATTATTGCTCAATGACCGATCCAACCTAATGTGGATTTCTAATATGAATCTTCTATTAAATCCATGTCTGAGGCAACAAATAAACAGCATTTAACTCACCGCCTGGGATCATGAGAGAACATGTTGAGCTGGCTCCCTCTTCCGTGTGCACTGAGAACTGTTCATGTGTTTGTGGACAAGAAAGTGAGACATTCTAGTTGTATTCGGTACTCGGTCTGCAGATCTACCTTATGGGAAGACGGGTGTTGTGGTACGTTTGAAGTCGTATGCCGGACAGCAACAAAGATTTACATTATTATTCAGGCCCCTCTCAGTGCAATTACCAGAAGTAATGAATCTTCTATGGTTATCGTGGAGGCCAATGACCTGCGGATGTGAAGGGAAGTTTCTGGAGTAACTCGGCAGGAATTGGAGAAGCAGAACTGCACAGCGAGGTTTCTGCTGTCCTTTCCGATGATATTTGCATCCTGAACTCATAGACAGATATAATCCTCCAAGTAAAGTTCAACATTTCTTCTTGAGATTTATTCTTGTCTCTTTGAGAAAATCAGAAATGACCGTCTCTGGAGCTGTATTGTCTCATTTGCTTCGTGTGAGAGCGCCACCCAGTGCACTCTACCTGCAAGTTTGAGAGTTGGGCTTATATGGAGTCTGTCATCTCTGAATCAGTGCGGGGCGCATGGCCCAGAAATACACGGCAGAGTCAGAAAAGAGGGCCCTGTTGATGGTTTAACGGGTAATCATCATAGTTTTATTAAATGTTGCAGAGGATAGCTCACAAAAGTTCGCATAAGAACTTGAAAAATAACTGCAGAAGCTGGAAAGCAGAAACTAAAGTAGTAATTGCTGGATAAACTCAATGGGTCTGACAGCCTCTGTGGATAGAAATGAAAGTCAACGTAACGGGTCCAGTGATTCATTCTTAGAACTGAAGTGAAGGGAGAGTTCCTGTTTATCAACTTCCCAACCAAAGTACATACTGCGGATGCTGCACTGGCTGTATCATTGAGCATAACCTGCATCTCTTGTCTTCAAGTTGCAGATTTGTAGAAAAGTACTTCTGTCTTTTAAATGCCATTTCAGGAAGCAGCTGTTCCACTGTATCTTTCTGACACCATTCTAACATTAACTAACACTAGTAATCAAAATTATAATCGTTACCGTCAGTGATTTACAAGTAATAATATCAGGATTGCAAATATACGGTTCGGGGACAATAGAGATTTTTTTTTTCCTTTTGGAAAAGAATCACTGCCCTAGAAATGAGATAATTGCGAGACACGGTGGGAGACAGTTCCTCATTGTGCTCTCTGGGTTGCCATTTTGATGCGTGGAAAACCCACACCCCGTGATCCCCATTCAAAGCTGATCCACTCATGACAAATAGTGACGGTTGCAATAATCGTTAAAGGAACACAGGACGGCAAGGCGGGTCAGAACCAAAACAGAAAACGGAAGCTGAGTGCAGGACTGCTGCAGAATTGGCTTTGAGTGTACTTTCTCCATGTGAGAATAGAAATTGCACAGCACTGCTCAAATGTACCGGGAACTGATAAATGTTAGAAGTTCTGTGACCATCCTACGCTCTTTAGAACAGAGTAACCGAGGAACACATGGGAAGAGTTGAGGGGACGAATAAAGGATCAAATATTAATAGACCTATCACACAAGACTCTGCTCTTTGAAGGGGCCACTTAATTAGTTCCATTCCTATCGTTCTTCTCACTTTCTGTAGCATTTCATATTTAACCACTTTCCAGGTCTTTTAAAACACCATTCTGAAAGTTAGCATTTAATGAGCTTTCACAGTCCTCTCACATGGGGCATTATGAATCTGAATCATGTAAAATGTGTAAAAGATGCTTTCTGTTTTATCAATTCTCTTGATCTCGTTCCTCCTGTTACCGGAAGCCTTGCCATTGAAGCCAATATAGCATGCTTTATATTCTATCAAAAGCCCTTTTAATTTTGATTAACTCAGTCATATTACCGTGAAACTTATATCAATATAAGGAAAACAAATCTTGTCTAAGACCCCACATAATATAAGTCTCTTATCTCCTATTGTTCTCTAAAGATATCTATAATTCTAGATTCAACGCAATAATTCTTATTCCAAGTATGAAATCCAGATCTATCATCTTACCTCAACGCACCATGTTTTCTGGACTCCCACTCCCCAGTCCCACCACACTCATTCCCTTCGATTGTCTGCTTTCAGTAATCCAGCTTCTATCTGCAGACTGAGAATCAAATCGATGAGTATGATTTGGCGTTTATAGCTTTCAGCAGTTGTTTGTGAATCTGCCTGCCCATTTCTCAGGGTTTTGCTCTTCTTCAGAGACGATAGTTTAACTAAATTTCCGTCAAAGGGAACGTCTCATTTAGTGTCTTCCCTTCCCATTCTCTCGTTTGAACGATCTTCAGCTTGCTGCCACAGAATTTGGGCTATTCCTGCCTGTTTCTGCAAGGGAAGAAGCCGGCGTGCTTCTGTTCCTTTTTTTTTAAAGATGCAGTGATATTTAATTAGTTAAATTTTAACAGCAAAATAGCTCTATCTGGTGCATATATATCATGGCGTCTTTCAAAGCTTATCAAATCTCAAAGCGAGTTCCAGAGGTGTTGGAATCGAAAGTGCTTCTGGTAAGGATCGTGTACGACTGAAATCGTCGTCTTCCTTCCAATATTAACACTATTAATCTATAATCTGATTTGGAATGGGATCACAACTTATTATTTCCTTGTAAATCAGTCAGCATTCGGATGCATCGATTGATACATGAGTTTGACATCAATTTTGAATTATTAACCTTTCACCTAAATTAGGAAGAATGATAAATCGATGAAAAGATGGAGAAATTGGGTTCAAAACAGAAGCAAGTTAAGCCGAGGCAGAATGCCTAAAAATGTGAGACAGAACAAACGGATGAGAAAGACACCAAAACAACAAGATGTACAATTAGAACGAATTTAGTCTTTTGTCGTTAACTGATTCTGTTTCGTCCATAGTTGACGTCAAATCTGAGAGCACAACCAATCGCAGCACAGTGAAGCCTTGCTCATTTTTCCCAAAAGGTGAGGAAGGCCCCTTAGTTAATTTTAGTGACTGATGTAAGATTCATCAATTCATTTAAAACGTTCTGTTTACGGTTGAGGTAGATATCATGTGTTTACTGTATTCCTTACCGATAATCATGGCCGTGGTGCTCGGTAAGTCAGAGTTAAAATCGCCATTGTGTGTTTGATTAGATTTACGTATGCAGATTTTTAACACTTTGCATGTATTTGTTGCAGGAACGAACGGCCAAGATTCCGTTTTCCAGGATCCACCTGAATGGATCGCTGAGGAAGGCCATAATTTAACACTGAACTGTAATTACACAACAGCAGAATTCGCTGGAGAAACTCTCTTTTGGTACATTCAGTTTCCTGGGAAATTTCCAAGATATTTACTGCACAGATACAACGAGCAGCAAGGGGACAGGTCTACAGATTTTCCTGACCGGTTCTCTGCTAATTTGGACAAAAACAAGAAAACAGTGCATTTAAATATCACCAACGTTGACGTCTCCGACTCTGCCGTCTACTGCTGTGCTCTGAGCTCCACACTGATACGTAGAATCTTTTGACATGTACAAAAACCAGCAAGACAGCCCTACCTCCTCTTAATGTATCAGATCTCTGAGCTGAATCATGAATTGTTAGCATAATAAAAACCAGATTTTAATATCAGCCTGTCCATTTTTTTTTCTTTTTGAATTATTGATTCCACTATGTTCTGTTCAAATCACTCTTAATATTGGATGCGATTTTTCTTTAACTCACACTGTGCAGGTGTTGAAAAGGCGGGTTCTGGCACTATTACTCAACAAATGTAATTATTTTTCATCTATTCCCGAAACTAACATTGGCCCTGATAAAGGAGTCATACTATTGTTTATGCCCAGTTTAATATTATTCTGTAAACCAGAGACAAAACTTTGTTCTGAGGCTGAACATATACAGAATTTGCTGTAAAAGCTCAGCAGGTATGGCAGCATCTGTGAAGCAAACTCAGAGTTAAAGTTTCGGGTCCAATGATTCTTTCCCCAGAATTCCACAGTAAGGAATTTGCAGAAGAAACAAAGTGCAGTTTTTGAAATTATACTTCTTATTGGGCGCTCTTTAGCCGAATTATTTGGCTCATTGACATATTTGACCACCACTACTCGACGCACACCCGCCACCGCCACACCCCCAACCCCCAAAACACACCTCTCCGCTCCCCATTGTTTGGTGTCACAAATGGAAAGCCTCAGGTGTCCCGCGCAGAAAGTTTAACAGGGCTCACCCTGTTGCCAATTCAGTCGGATTACTCACAATGAATGAAAAGCGAACTTCTCAATCTAACTTCAACAATGAAACTTCTTTTATTGAGACAGTTTGTTTTAGATCATTTGATGACTAAGCTGTGTGTCAAGTCAGTCAGAAATCAAGCTTCTTTCCGCATTCAGTTGGCGATTAAACTTCTCTTAAGTGAGTTAAATATAAGCTGTTTATATTTGCTCATCTTTCTCTAAAGAACAGGGATAACCTTTATTGTCTCTCTTTTCTGACGTAAACAGAGACTTGTGGCGATCGACGTCAGCAGAACGTCAGATTAAGGCCCTCCTATCGCATGGTTCGCAGGAAGTGATATCAATTTGAACTCAATCCAAACTATCATCATTTTTTTTTCTTCTTGTCAGACGTTCTGCGGATTTTTGAGATACAGAAATATCCTTCGAATCCCAGAGCAGTAGCGATGTGGCTGTGCTTTCTCTGTCTGGCCTGGGTGACTTCTACTGTTGGTAAGGTGTTTATAGCTTTGAACAGTGTTTAATGGCTGGAGGAATATATTTGAGAAAAAGATTACAAATGTTAGACAGGTACGGGAGCTGGATCAGAGAACACGTTCTAATCGCGTGCAAGCCTAGTACCTATTTTACACAAAGATTGAAGAGATGTAAAGCACAACAGGAAAAAAAAATAGTTTATGGAGTTAACGCTAGAATTTAGATTTTGTAACTGACAAAAAAAACTGTAGGCTCGGGTTGTTTTCTCCACTGAAGAGACGACTAACGGGTATCCGGACTGATGTCTTTACAACAGTGAAAAGATATTTTCTTCCAGTCACGGAGTGAGATATTCCACTTGAAGGGGTTTTCAGATACATAAATTTAAATAAACAAGTTCAAACGATACAAAATGATCCAATGAGGATTTCAGAGTTTAAAATAAAACATCTGGAGAATATGAAGAATGTGTTTTTCATAGCGACAGGACGAATTTGTATTAAACAACAAAGATGCATTCAAAAGCAGAAAAGAGGAAGAAAGGGATTGAGTGATTTACTAATAGAATAATCGGAAGCAATAAGAAGGATGTTTGTGGTTGTTATATACACAGGCATGCGCCTAACGATCTGAACAAGCTCTACCTGCTCTAAATTCTATCTAGTTTTACGCAAGATCAAGAATTTCTACAATTCGTTCATTTTGTTCAAATATGTAATCTTTGTTATCTGCTTTCTCTAACCTTGTGTTCCAGATTTGAGTGAGGCCGTTTCTGTTAGTCAGCGGGATCTTTCGCTAATGCAGATGGAGGGAGACAGTATCACTTTGACCTGTACCTACACTGACGATGGTTATTACTTATTCTGGTACCGTCAGTACCCAGGCAGACAGCCCGAGTTCACAGCCCGGCGCTACACGACTGGCAGTGCTGAATTGAAGGCGGATTTTGCTCAGACCCGGTTTTCTGATGTAGTCCAGCAGAAAGACAAGTTGTATCAATTGACCATCTCAGACCTGCAATTGTCTGACGCAATGGTCCATTACTGTGCAATGAGCCTCACAGTGATAGGAACGAGTAAAAGCCTTGTACAATAACTGCTGCTATTTTTCTAGGTTACAGCTGCTGTTGTTGCGATCTGTTTATGAAAGTAGGTTACAGACTAACAATTCACTTACTGCGAAGGGAAAATCTTGGTGGACAATCCACGTTATCAACATTTAAAGTTGTTCACAGCGAATACTGATTCTGATTATTGTGTTGACAGTGTGAGGACCGAATAGTCTGCTCTTTCTTTCCGAATGTTAGAGAACACCTCGCTCTGTTTCAGTGAGGATACAAACTGTGCAGCTGGCCTAGCACTAAATATTTCTGTGTATCGCAGCATTGGGAAAAAAAAGGAACAAATAATTTTCAATGTGAAATTGCTGAATGTAGTATGAAGAACAGCCTACAAAGTGAGAAACATAATATTTCCACCAACCAAATTGAACACCTCTTAAGTGTACACATAATAAAGATTAAGGATCCGTAATTTCGCAATGTAAAAGAGGGATACTTTCAGGATAGAAAGAGAAAATGAAGAACAATGATATTAACGGCAATAATCTGGAAGAACAGAAGTCGGGTTTTCTTGGAATAGCTGGTCAGAAATCTAACCAAATATGAAAGATTAATTGAAGAAAATGGCACTTATCACGCGGAATATTAGAAGACCTCTTTGAAATATGAATTCATCAGCTAAGGCTACATATATAATTGAACAAAAAGCGTTTTTTTTTATTTTGTTGTCTATCCCGCGGTGCTTTCTTGTTTCAGTTTAATATTCAGGAATGGCTCGAAAAGTCAGGAAAGATATTTTAGGAAACTGGTGTGTCACAAAATTTTTACTGTATAAATTGGCATAAATTCCTTAATCACATATATGAGTGATGTTCTGAATGCAGCCTATGAAAAGGCAGCATTCTCCAATGCAGCACCTGTTATTCTTCTCTGTTGTTAAACAGAAGGATATTTCTCAGTTCAGTGCTTTCCAAGAAAACGTTTAGCAAGTCTTAGTTACTCTGCAGTCTGCACGCCCCATGCATCTCCCACTCCCCATACCACTCACTTTGTCCCATGACAGCGGCGTTTTTGACTGCAACTCCCAGTGGTTCCGTTACTGTATCCCTTAGCTCTCAGTAATACACCACGTTGTCAAACAGCCGCAGCTCACCAATGGTGAGCATCTCCTCATATTTTAAAGATGAAGAAAATCGAGCATGAATGCCTTTTGGTCTGACAACACTCCCATATTTAGGAATGTCGCTGAAGAATGTCAGAGATTTACCTGGGTAGTGACGGCACAATTACAAGGCATATGTATTATCTTTTGTCAAGTAGCTCAAATGAAAACTCATCAATTTCTCCATCAAACTGTATCACTGTAAAGGGTTCTTGTGAAATCGAGTCTGCACTATTAATGCCTGCATAAATATAGAAAGAAAATGATTTTAAAATAACGATTACAGTAAATGTTATACCGTTAAAGTTTATATTATTAAACAAAGAAACACAGCCAAAGAGAAGATTGCTGTAGTCATATTACCTCGAAGTGAACATTTTACAAGACAGGAGCTTACCAATTAAAGGAGTGGCAGCAGTGAGGAATGAGAAAATAATAAAATCCAACATGATTGCAGAGTGAATCGATCAGTTTGAACAAAGGGCTTGAAGTTGAATTGTTTCAGCTCGGAGTCAATGATGTGTCATATCCTATTTCCATGCCAATTAATTTATTTCTGACAGAGTCAACAAATCGACTTACAGATTCATTGTTGTGCAATTTAAGACATCAAAGTGCCGGCCATATGAACACAGGACCGGGCTGGAGGAGGCCATTTAGACTGTCGAATCTGCTGTACCAGTGAATGAGATCGTAGTTGATCCAGTTCATTTCTAGCAGAAATCTCAAATCACTTCTTTACTTTAAGGTACTAATCAATCGACATCGTCTGAAATATGCTCAATACAATGGCCAAAAAAAAAAAATTCCTGATGACCGAATTAAGCTCGAAATGAGCATTCACTTCAATTATCGTTTTTTTACAGAATGAGTCTTGGCCCCTGGGTTCATACCAAATTATGTTGTGGTATTAGTGTTACAGTCTGCCATTAATAGCACTGCTCACTGATCATGATACACTTGGACAAAATCACTTTCACTGGAATATACTGAAGCGTCACTATGTGAACCATCGTTACAATTACCTGTTATTATTCTCGCCAGCAGAGAAAAGATCCCCTGCCTAATCATTATTCTCTAACAGCTAAGATCTCTCAATTCCAGGATTATCTCCATAAATCATTTATCTGTGGTGCTTTGTTTATCTTAATTCCTCATGTCACACGCAGGTCAAAGTGCAAACCATAACCAAAACGTGCTTTGATCCAGCTCAAATACTTGTCTAATGCGAGTACTCTGTTTCACGAATTTGCACCTCTAGAGATTAAGCTCTATGTTAAAGTTTAAATTTTTCCCAACAATGCAAGTCACCCAGACAAGAGGTAGAACGTACAGCAACATTACTGCTGCTGTGGGATAGCAGGGATATTTCTGTACGTCAGAAGCCTGCAGACAAGAAAAGAAAAATCGGACAAGAAAATGCTGACAGCATTGTTTGTGTTTAATTTAAATTCACTTCCTGAGGACCATGCGATTGAATGAAATGGATCTGCTTGTCTCATGACGTCGATAACCACAAATCTATGTTTAGGTCCAAGAATAAAATCTTTCATTGTTCAGTCAGTTGATCACGAAAATATGAGTAATCACAGATACGTTTCACTAACTGACTGGAGAGACAGTTTGATCATTCACTGTACGTAGAAAAAAACTTGAGCTCTATATCTACTGAGATACAGCTGATCTCTAACTGACCTAATAAACAAATCGTTTCCTATTGAGCTGATTGACCACTTTGTCGTTTGGTAACCTGAATAAGTGATTTTCAGTGAAAGAAAAACTGCTGCTGAAATTATATTCAGATATTCCTTTTTTATTCACTGTCACTAGTTCGTCTGAGTTTGCAGGTTGGCGAGTTCTGACAAACTTCTACGTGGGGAACAGGAGAAAAAAGCTTTTCTCTTGTCACTCGCTAATAACAGCCTCCAACCAGAGATGGTAAAATGTTACCAATGAACATGATAAACAGATATGCATGCGTTAGAAGGCAGAGTTAATAAATTCATCGTGTTTCGCCTGCCGATTCCTCACTTTGGCTTCATTTTCATCGGAAATCTCACTCCTGCATTCAGAGCTGATTGGAGCAGTTATGCAGAAACATTGTATGGTTGCAATCTGTTAAATGTTGTTAATCAATGTATATCCTCGCACAGCTTTTTAGCTCCTTCAATTTGTCCTAAGGTAACGATGTTTCTGTACGAATCTCTTTGAGATCCCTATCACTGTATCTCTCAATCCACAGTAATTCACGACGTTCCAGACAACAATAATTGCGAGAATTCCCTAACTTTCTCTTGGTCAATGTTAGCAGAAAATCAAGATCCCACACCCTCAGCTGTGATGATACTCCATTATTTTCGAAGTAGGGTAAGAGTGTCAGGGCTTTATCCCACGCTTGGCGATGTGGTTCCAAAGAAAATGCAGTAGCGTTACTCAAATAACTGTAAGTAATGGTTTGTTCAAACCACATCGCTCAACCCAGCACTTGGGAGACCGAATATGCACGCCCAACAACAGCAGAAAATTAGAAATACATAACTTCAATATGTTATCATCACGCGATGATAAGTAATAACATCTGTGATTGAGCATTTTCTGGATAGGGAGAAAGCACATTTTAAACAATGTCAGCGATTTCTGGATGCGGAAGAGTGGGTAGACTTTAAAATGAGTTACCCGTTATGACAGTTTCAATTCTAAAAAAAAACGATTATAATGAAACGGTCATGCTTGTAGACATTTAATGTGGTTTCACACAACGCAACTGACCTGAAATTGCTCGTATGTTCGCCGGTTCCTGACAGGAGAAGGGCCGCAGTGAACGTGACAAGCACGAGAGAAGGAACTAATTCCAAAGTTATCCATCAGTAACTTCAGTCTAGAAGCTGGGCGGATTCAAGGCAAATAGGTCGTACTTGTCGGTATGAGTGTAGATATTTCTGATTCTAATATCTGTGAAGAGATATTTGATCTCCGTACAGTTCATATAATGAGACCTGTAGAAGACCAGAGAAATTATAATGGCTTAAACTAAGCGATACTATCAATAAGTAGAGCTCCCCATTCAATATGAATGAATTTGGAACTGACTGATACAGTCGATATGTCTGGTGATTTAAGAGCAGCAGATGTGAAAAATAAATGCCGCTCGGTGAAACGAAAATCACGTAGATACTCAAAATCAATTAATTATTCACCAGACATTTATTAACAAATCATGCCAGGCTTTTCTTTGGATTTCAATTTGTGCTGCCTCTTATGGAAGCCTCTGCTAAGACTGGGAAAGTGCAGACCCTCGACTGACGACTGTTTCAAAGTACAGGAAATCTGTTTATTTTAAGGCAAGCACTTTTCTAAGTTAATGTTTCAAGTCCAGTGTTCTGTTCTGACATTCTAAACGTTAACTCTATTACAGCTAAATAATTGTTTCTATCTGTGAGGAGATCCAGAGGAAGAAACAGATTGAGAAACAGGGAGAAATAAAATTAGGGTCAGTCAGCAAGCAAGGAGCTGATCGAGGCATCAGGTGTTAACTAGTGGGAAAGCAAAAAGGTACATATTTGGGAAAAGCTCGGAAGAGGAACTGTAATGACATGGAGGGACTTAGATAACCACCCAGTGAAAGAAACATATGCAACGATGCAGAATCATGAATTCTGTGGAAAAAAAAGAGAAGCAACTGAACATACAGCAATGCATCCAAGGGATAGACAAGGTCAGGTACATGGGATAGAATGACAGAGATATTGATTGAAACATAAACATGAATTCCAGGAAATGTAAAGAAAATACAATATTATATGTCATACTGTTAAGAACAAATTCAGAGAACTCTTTTACATTAACGTTTGGCCATCACAAAGACTGCCTGGC